CTCTGTTTCTTAAATTTTCTGAATCAAGCATGTTTTTATTAATTGTTAAATTGGTCAGGCTGCTAACTAGCTAAGAATAATATTTTAGAAGCACCACAGTCTCATCCTTGGGTTTCTGGATCCCAACATTTGATGTTACCAGTTACTTGGACCAGACCCTTGGAAACTGCTTCAGTCCACCCAAGTACCTAGAATACCAATACTATAGGTTAATTATTACTGGGATATATAACTTCCTGGTGTCTAGAATATTCTTGCCCATTACTCAGGGCTCCCTCCTTCCCAGAATCATGTCCTGAGTCATAGAATCGGTCATCAGCAGTTCAGTGAACGTGTAATCATAAGGGGTTTGGAGAGTTTTGTGGGATGTTTAATTCACGTTAGGGAAAGGACTGGAGAATTACTCTGGATCCAGATTTCCAGTGACCAAGACATTCACATCCCTTGGATACTACTGAATAAACATTGGTAAATTCTGATGAAAAGATTCCTTTTTCTGGGCTCTGGGTGGACTGTTATCACATAATGGACATGTTGATTATGTTTCTCTTGTATTGATTATATTTTGGATCCGTGTCTCCATGATGGGATTTGACAGATGTCTTAGTTCCTTTAAAAACTCATTTACATGTCACCTCTTAAAATGAACAACTTCTGCAGTTGGTTGCTGTGCATAGTATGCAGATTTAATTAACATTTAAATTTTATATTTTAATAGGTAATATATGCCAATAGTCAAAATTCAAAAGGTACAATGGGGTGAAAAGCTCTCTCCCATCCCTGTCAGCTAACCACCCAGGTCCCCTCCCTAGAGGTAACTGATATCATTCCAGGGAGATACACATACATACACACATATTTTTCACCCTATGTAATTTTTTTTAAAATTTTTATTTATTTATGGCTGTGTTGGGTCTTTGTTGCTGCGCGCGGGCTTTCTCTAGTTGCTGCGAGCGGGGGCTACTCTTTGTTGTGGTGTGTGGGCTTCTCATTGCAGTGGCTTCTCTTGTTTCAGAGCACGGGCTCTAGTCACGCGGGCTTCAGTAGCTGTGATGTGCGGGCTCTAGAGCACAGGCTCAGTAGTTGTGGCACACGGGCTTAATTGCTCTGAGGCATGTGGGATCTTCCCAGACCAGGGCTTGAACCCGTGTCCCCAGCATTGACAGGGAGACTCCCAACCACTGCACCACAAGGGAAGCCTACCCTATGTAATATTTTATGTACTGTTCTTCACCTTCCTTTTTTCACCAAGAATCTATCTTGGAGGTAATTTTACATTAGTATATAAAGAGCCTCCTTTTTTTTTTTTTTTAATTCACAATTTTTCCCTTAAATAAATTTCCTTTTATTTTTTTTTTTTTTTTTTTGTACCATTACTTTTTTAACTAGTCTCTAACTAATGGACACTAAGATGGCTTCCAAACTTTCGCTATTACACCATGTTCCATGTACCTAAGTTATTTTGCACATAAGCAACTATATTTTTAGGATGAATTCCTAGTAGTGTGACTGCTAGGTCAAAGGTATATGCATTTTTAATTTTGATGAATATTGATATATTGCCAAATTGTCTCCCTTAGAGCTTGTATGAGAGCTTCACTGAATATTAACAAACTTTTGGATTTTGCCTATCTGGTTATGAAAAAGGATATGTCAGAGGAGTTTTAAACTATATTTTCCTTACACTGAGTGAGGTTGAGCACCCTTTCATGTTGACTTCCTTTTCTGCATAGTTGGTATAGCCGCGGCTCCTTTTTCTATTGAGTTTATTTGTAGAAGCACTTTATGTTTTAGGAAAATTAGCCTTTTCTGTGATACAAGCTGTAGATATTTTATACCAAATTGGAGTATGTCTTTCGACTTTTATTATGATAGTTTTCGCCTGGAGAGCTCAAACTCTGGAAACTACCTGGGTTTGAATCTTGGCTCTGCCACTCACTACCTTGAGCAAGTTACTTAACCTCTCTGTGACTCAATTCATCAGTAAAGTGGTGATATTAATAGTAACTGCCTCACAGGGTTGCTGTAATTAAAAGAACAATATATGGAAAGGGCTTAGAAAATAGGTGGCACATGACAAGGACTATAAAAAGTATTGTGGTTTTTTTTAATGTAGTCAAAGTTAATGCTGATTCATTTTAGGTGCCGTTTCAAAGAAAAACATATTTGCCTTGGCTTCAAATTCTGGAGATAAAGTGAAAAAAAGAAATTATTCTCACTTTTGATAAGTAATATGCACTATTTACATATCAAGCCATCCACATAATAAAGGGTGCCCAGTCCATGGGAGTGTAGACCAAGCAGTGAGGTGCTTTATGGTCACTGCATTTACTCCTCACAACCACTCTCTTCAATAAACAGGGTCCCACTGTAGAGCACAGGAAACTGTATTCAATATCCTGTGATAGGCCATAATGGAAAAGAACAGGAAAAAGAATATATATATGTCTAACTGAATTACTCTGCTGCAGAGCAGAAATTAACACATTGTAAATCAACTACACTTCAATAAAATAAATTTAAATACATATATTTAAATATTATATATATATTTGGGGAAAAAACCCGCTTCAGCAGGTATCATTATTCTCATTTTACCTATGAGGAAATTGAGGTTCAGAGGTGCCAAAAGACTTGCCCAAGGTCAAGCTTCCTTTGTGCATTGATTTGCAAATATTCTTTAATCCTTTCTCTTGGCATGCCTGCTGCAGGTCCCCAAGGCATATCCTGTGCCTATACCCGGTTCCCTCAGTGAACACTCAAGAGACCCCTCTGGCTGGCTGTTTGCCATTCATTCACTCAGCAAGCCCCAAGCCAACTCCTTCTGACTTCCTCCCGTGACCCTGGCTCTTGAGCTTGGAATCCCTTTTGACTCCTGACACAGTATTCATCAAGTCTTACAGGTTCTCCCTCCTCTGAAATGTGTCGACTCTACCCTTCCCTTCCATCCCAGCTGCCACCACTATGTTTCAACCCTGACTATCTTTTGCAGGGACGGTAGCTGCACTAAGCTTCTAAGGAAGCTTCCAGCTGCCTTCCACAATCTTTCCTCTTTAGTTTCTTCTACAGTGCTGCCCAGGTGATTTCCCTAAACCACAGCTCTAGTCTTATCACTCCCCAACTCTCAAACCTTCAGAGGCTCCCTCTGCCAGCTCCTTACCCTTGACATTTGACCCAATCTATTCTGCCAGTTTTGCTTCCAGGACTCCCTACCCATCCAGCCAAAACGAATGCTTCACTACTCCATGAACAGGCTTCCAGTCAGCTTGTTTGTTCAGCTTAGGATTTCTCTCTCTGCTCTCTATTCCAGGCAGCTCAAGCTTCAAGAAGCTGTCCTTTATTCTGACTATACTCACTTCCCTGCTTACCCTCATCACCTCTTCCCACTCCACACCCTTTCTTATACAAAATCCTTTAGAGGCGGAATCCTACTTTCCTTGTTATTTACTGAAATGCTTTCACACACAGGTACAACTGATAAACCCCACAACCTATTTTCTAATGGGTCTAGCCACTCACAGGGCCCTGGGTTAACAGGGCACATGGTGTGCCAGGCCTGCTCGTGGCAACAACCAAGCCTGGCCCATTTGAACCCAGCTCTCCTCACAGAACTGTGACTTCTGCATAGAGAACAGACCTGTGGTTGCCAAGGGGAAGGTGGGTGAGGGAGGGATGGAGTGGGAGGTTGGGGTTAGCAGAGTATAAATAGAATGGATAAACAACAAGGTCCTACTGTATAGCACAGGGCACTAGAGACAATATCCCATAATAAAGCATAATGGAAAAGAACAGGAAAAAGAATATATATATATATGTATAACTGAATCACTTTGCTGTATACCAGAAGCTAATACCTTGTAAATGAACTATACTACAACAAAAATAAAAATAAACCAGATCTAGATTTTTAAAAAAAAAGCAAACTGTCACTTCTGGTCAAGAGCCCTTCACAGGCTTACATTTTTCTTTTAGATCTGACAGCTGTCAACTGATACCTAGAACAGGCACAGCACAAAGAGACCATTCTGGAAGTATTAGTGGTACGAACAAAACTTTGCACTGGCGAGAACGTCAGAACGTTAGATCAACTTCCTTGTTTCAACAGAAGAAATCAAGGCACAGAGGCTTCCCTGGTGGCGCAGTGGTTGAGAATCTGCCTGCCAATGCAGGGGACACGGGTTCGAGCCCTGGTCTCGGAAGATCCCACATGCCGCGGAGCAACTAGGCCCATGAGCCACAACTACTGAGCCTGCGCGTCTGGAGCTTGTGCTCCGCAACAAGAGAGGCCGCGACAGTAACAGGCCCACGCACCGCGATGAAGAGTGGCCCCCGCTCGCCGCAACTAGAGAAAGACCCAACACAGCCAAAAATAAATAAATAAAAAAAATTCTTTTTTTAAAAATCAAGGCATAGAAAGGGAAGAGGCTCGCCCTAGGTCACACAGCAATAAGGAACCAGAACTAGATCTAGAACTAATGCCTCCTGACTGAAGTTCAGGGCATGCTCCTCTGCACCTTGGAGCCACGCAGATCTAGGGTGAGCAGCCCCAGCTACCAGAGGTCACAACCAAACACGTCACCACCAGTTCAACACGCGTTGCTCTTTCCTCACACTCATCTCAGAGCCTCCTTCGACCTTTCCACAACACAATCTTTCCTCGTCTCTAAGTAACAGTTTTAAAGGTAGGGATCTTCAGCGGCGAGAGGGCTTCCCTGTCAACCGGGTTGGACACAGAAAATACCCGGTCCTGGGTGGGGTTCCCACCGCTAGAGAAGAGGTAGCCTCGGAGCTCCCGGGGTCCGAACTCAGCCTCCGGCCCCGCCCCGGCCCTGCCCTCAAGCGCGCCCGGCCCCGCCCCAAACGCGCCAAGCCCAATCAAGCCTGCAGCCGACTCGCTGCATCGTCACCAGGCCTGGGCGGAGCCGAGCTCCCAATCCCTTCCCCCTCCCTAAGATCCGCCCCATTGGCGTAGACAGTCAGAAAACGCGTCCACTGAGAAGGAAGGGGTGGCCGCCATGGCCCTATCCGCTGAGACAACGCGAGAACGGACACAACTAACTGGCAGATTCTAGACCTCGGTCTTTCCGCGTCCTTCTACGCTTCGCTCCCACTCTTGCCGATCCTGCGCCCGAAGGAGAGCCGGAAAGGCCCCTCTGATCAAGTAAGTCTACGCTGACTTTAGTACTGTTGGCGTCGGTCCAGGGGCGGCTGCTGCTACCCCGACAGAGCTCGGGGTGGGATGGGGGTCGGGGGAAGGCCCGAGAAAGGGGCGGGGAGGAGCCGAGCACGTGGAACACCGGCACGACCCTGGCGTGGGTGGCTGGTTGGGCAGGCGAGCTCCGGCTGTGAGGGAGGAATCGGTGGGCGGGTGGAGCTCGCGCGTCTTGTCGGATCTGCCGCCGTAAAGACGGGGGGAGGGGGACCCCGAGTGTCACCGCTCCGTGTCCGCCCTGAAGGAGCGTTTTTCTAAATCCTGATGTGAAGTTGCCACCCAACACCTGCCAGTGGCTGGACTGCGGGCCCTTGGTGGCGGCTTACCTGAAAGTTGAGGTTGAGGTTGATTTTTTCAAACAGGTCAGCATAACAGCTAACGCAAGCGTCTCGTGAGTGCTTAGGCACTGCCAACTGCTTTACAGGCATTAACTAAGCTTTCCATACACCAGCCCAGTGAGGCAGGTGGTAGTGTAATACCTTCGTCAGACGCAGAAGAGCCCTAGTGAGGTTGTTGCTTACCCGAGGTAACTCGCGAACTAGTAAAGTGACGGAGCCGTGGGATGAACCCAAGCTTCCCGAGGTAACCTCCACACCGAGTTACGGTAGCGACAAAGCCACGCCTTCCACTCTAGCGCTCGCCGTGTCCAGGAAGCCTCGTCGTCTCCCCAGTTATCCTTAGAAACCATGACACCCCGTCCCCCTGGACGGGCGTGGTGTGGTCCACAGACCTTGGCAGACGCAGAAACAGCCCAAAGGAAAGAAGACTGAGGCCACTGCTTCCTGGAGGAAACAAAAGTCCAGAGCCCCACACTCCAGTTTTAAATAACGGTGGAGATTGTAGTTGAGGTGGTGTCCTGGGGCCGGACCAGCAGGGGTGGAATGCCGTTTCCCCCACGCAGTGTGTCTTTCTGGGCACCATGCTTGGCCCTCTAAGCTTCCGTTTCCTCATTTGTGAGGTAGAGTTTTAAATAAACGCCGACGCAGGGTGGCCACGGCAAGCCCCCTGTGGAGGCCATTTTGCGTAGGGCTTTTCAAACCAGTGGCGTTAGTGTTTTCCACGCTGCAGTCCAGTATCCTGTATAATCCCCATGAACCTGTCGCTGGATATTTAGGATGTGCCTCACTCATAAATGGTATAGTATTGCTGTAGTAGAAAATCTTTTTTTGTTTGGGGGATGTAATTCACATACCATAACATTCTCCGTTTTACAGTGTACGGTTCGGCAGGTTTTGTAGAATATTCGCAAGGTGCGACCATCTTACTCCAGAACATTTTCATCACCCCAAAAATAAGCACTGTGGCCCCGGCGCGGCCTAGGCCGAGGCATTGTTAGGCTCCAGGCCTGGGGCCACGGGCCACGTGCTCGGCAGGATGTTGAGGCGGCTGCTCGGGTGCGAGCAGTGGAGCCTCCGCTCCGTGCTGAATTTCGGCTGTGGGCCGCAGCCGAGACCGGGCCCACCTCTCACAGAGGCCGGGAGGGAGGCTGCCCGCCACCCCACAAGCCTGAGGCCCCCAGGCCGGGCCTTTTCTGGGTGGCACCGTCGGAACTTGGCGGCCAGGCCCAGAAGGGCGTCTTGTGGGAGGGGAAGGAAGCGGTACCCGGAAACTGGGCCGCTCAAACCGGAAGCAGTTTGGAGAGCTGTGCCAAGTCTTCGGCGCGCCTGCGCAGAAAATTGCCCGGCTGGGAGGCAGAGCCGACTCTCCTGCGAGAGGGTCTCCGCAGAGACCCCAGATTTGAACAAGGGCCGGAAAAACCGCCGAGGAGTGTGCCGAACTTAAGGATTATCGGTGTGCCACCACAGTTGAGACTTGCGGCCGAAGGAACCATTGTAGAAATGAAACGGGATGACCTCACAGTGACATCAACATCAAGGAATGGAGAAGCTAAGCAGCTACCTGAAGTAGAAAGGACAAGTCAGCACACCCATCCGCTGGACCTGTTATTTCATGGCGAACCCACTTACAGAGAGCTACCCTGGGTGCTGTGCAAACAACGCTCATCTGGAGGAAACTGCTGGCAGTTTTGAAAAGCAGAAAGTAAAGGATATAAAGACTGTATTTTCAGAATTTATCACTACTGAAATGCTATTTCAGAGCAAAGCTTCAGAGGTATACACTGGTGCCTATCAAAATATACAAAAGATTGATGAGGAGACTTGAGGTTTTCAGAAGCTCTAGGTATTCACCCGATTATCCATCTCACTTGTATATTGTAAGAGCAAATTCAAAGTTGCCTTTTCAGAGATTTGTTTAGCTAAGTGTCTGCAACAGAACAGGTGTCCACTTGTGGACTAAGGGGATCAGCAAGAAGAAGATGAATTAGACATTACAGAATAAGAAAATTAATTTTCCTCAGTACATGTCTCATTTCCATTTTTATCTTAATATGACTCAGAATTCAGGATTGCTGAATTATAAAACTTTATTCTGGCTTGCTATGCTAAACATCAAAATGGAATGCTACTGAAAATAGGGGAGAAAAATGGAAGGATATGTATGCTGATCCAAAATGAAGGTTTTAAAAAATATTACACAGCCAGTCATTTCAGCTTCCTACCTAGTGATATATAATCTTTTTGTATAACTCCCACACTTTTTTTTTTTAAGATTATGGGTTTCAAAGTATTTCATATTAATGTACTGTACTTGCTTGGGAGTCCTATAGTAAAGTAGATATCAAAAACCAAAAGATCTACCAATTCCATTTAGCTTCTTTTAGACTGACTCTGCAAAAGGATCCTATCTAGTCATTTTGATTAAATATAAATTCTATCCCATGAAGATTTAAATAAAAAGACAAGTTTTCTTTTCTTGAAAAAACTTTTACTGAAACATGAAGTTTCATCATTTGATCTGTAAATTTACCTTTCAACAAGTGTATAATCAAACAGAATAAAGGAAATATGACACCAATATATCCATGTTTTACAAATGAACAAAGCATAAATTTTAGTTTAGAGTCACATTCAACTTGATTCTGGCTTTAAAACAAAACTGCTGTCATACTCATAGAGTACAGACTTGTGGTTGCCAGGGGGGAGGGGCGGGGGGAGGTTGGGGTTAGCAGGTGTAAGCTGTCATATATAGAATGGATGGATAAACAACAAGATCCTACTGTATAGCACGGAGAAGTATATTCAATATCCTATGATAAACCATAATTGAAAAGGATATTTAAAAAAGAATATATATGTATAACTGAATCATTTTGCTGTATGGCAGAAATTAACACGTTATAAATCAACTATACTTCAATTTAAAAAAATTTTTTTAAACTGTTGTCATACTAAAGTACTATAAATGGTACTACATCCTTTGGAAAGCTAGTAATTTGGTGGAATGTTGCCTAGAAAAACATAAACTAGAACACATGGAACACCATAAATCATTTAAAATTCTATAACAATTTTTCTAAGCTACCACCTAGATAATAAAAAGATATAACAGTTATTCTTGGAAACATAAAACAATTTAATCAGAGTCTTTATCAACTCATGTGGGGTAACTGGAAAAAGCAATTATTCATAACAGAAAAGTAGACTTTCGAGAAGCTATAAAAAAAGGACCTGAACCTTTAAACTCCCTGTTCTGTAACCCCTCTTCCTTCAGCACCTGGAAAACCATTTCTCTCTTTCTCCCTCTCTGGATTTGCCTATTCTGGAGATTTCATATACATCAAATAAATAATACAGTGTGTGGCCTTTTGTGTCCCACTTCTTTTATTTAGTATAGTGTTTTCAAGGTTCATCCACATTGTAGCATGCCTCAGTACTACATTCTTTTTATGGCTGAATAACATTCTTTTGTATGGATGTGCTGTATTTTGTTTATTGAGTCATCAGTTGATGGAAATTTGGATTGTTTACACTTTGGGGCAATTATGAATAATGCTGCTATGAATATTACTGTCCAGATTTTTGTATGGCCATATGTTTTCATTTCTGCTGGATTTTGCTATGGTAACTCTATGTCGAACCTTTTGAGGAACTGCCAAACTGTTTTCCAAAGTGACTGCAGCATTTGCGTTCCCACCAGCAGTGTATGAGAGTTCCAATTTCTCCACATTCTCACCAATACTTGTCATTTGTGTTAGTTTTTTTTTTTATTATAACAATCCTGGTAGGTATAAAGTGGTATCTTATTGTGGTTCTTATTTTCATCTACCTATTGACTAATGATGAGCATCTTTTCGTGTTCTAAGTGGCCATTTGTATATCTTTGAAAAAATGTCTTCAGATTTTTTTCCTTATTTTTTAATTGAGTTATTTTTTTCTTGTTGAGTTTATATATTCTGGATACTAGATCCTTATCAAATGTACGATTTAAAAATATTTTCTCCCATTCTGTGGGTTGTCCTTTCACTTTCTTTTTTTTTTTTAAAGTGAATGGTGATTGTTTCTTTTTTTAATTTATTTTATTTTTGGCTGCATTGGGTCTTTGTGGCTGTGCGCGAGCTTTTCTCTAGTTGTGGCGAGCGGGGCCTACTCTTCGTTGCAGTGCACAGGCTTCTCGTTGCTGTGGCTTCTCTTGTTGCACAGCATGGGCTCTAGGTGCGCGGGCTCAGTAGTTGTGCCTCGCGGGCTTAGTTGCTCCATGGCATGTGGGATCTTCCCGGACCAGGGCTCAAACCCATGTCCCCTGCATTGGCAGGTGGATTCTTAACCACTGCGCCACCGGGGAAGCCCCCTTTTCACTTTCTTGATAGTGTGCACAAAAGTTTTTACTTTTGATGAAGTCTACTTAATCTATTTTTTCTTGTGCTTTGGGTGTCATATTTAAGAAACCATTGCTTATTGAAAGTTCATGATGATTTATACCTTTGTTTTCTTATAAAAGTCTTACAGTTTTAGAGCTTGAATCAATGAGTTAATTTTCATATATGATGTGAAGTAGGGATTGGATTCATTCTTTTGCAGGTGAGTGTCCAGGTGTCCAAGCAGTTGAAA